TAGGATTTGCATCCTTAGGATATTTAATATCCCCAAGTGACCATTTATCTGATCTCCTGATCTCCCCAGTCCAATGTTCTATCCTGATCCTCACTACTCTGTATCTGCCTCCTGTACATACACCTCGTAGAATATGTAGTATTAATCTGGATGCTTTTCCTTTTAATATCCTAGAAAAAAGTATATTGGAACACTAATGAGAGGAACATGTGAAACAAACACCCAAAATTGTCATGATGATTGGCAGATGTGCATTTAAAACTGCTGTTCAGACATTTTGCTTTCTGTACCTTTTGTTCAGGTTGCTGGCACTCTGTCCTCAATCATAGTTTTCTTGGTCATTGTTGCCATTGGTGACCTCTTTGAACCTCTGCCTCAGGTAAGGGATCTTTTTTATGATGATGATGATGATGATGATGATGATGATGATTTAAACCATTTCTATGCCGCCCCATTTGCAAAAAGCCTCGGGGCGGCTTACAACAACAATGCCAATGTTTCCGTTCAGGTCTGAATGACTGCTTAAGCAGGAATAAAAATTCCTCTTACTAAACTAATCTATAACGTTGATGTGATATTCTGTGCTGCAGAAGTTGATTGCACGGCAGGCTAACTGAATGGCTTTGGGAATCACTGAATATTGGGCTGGTTCTTTGTTATCTGCTGGCTCCCAGTAGATTGCACTAGCCCTTTCCAGGTATCCACAACTGGGGTGAAATCTTTCTGGTCTGGATTCCTGTCTAAGTCTCTCTTGCTTCTCAGTAGCTCTCAACTTACTTTCCTCCCATTACAACATAATCTGATAGGTGTCTACTCAGGCAGAAGCCCCAGTGAGTTCAGTGGGACTTACTTCCAGGTAAATGCATACAGGATTGTAACCTTAGAACTAGTCATGTTAAACCACCCTGAGGGTAAGCCCTGGGGAGTGGGTGGCTTGGCTGTCATTCCCAACAGGTGATCACCCCCTCGGCACTTGGCCTGGCTTGTTTCTCCCTTCAGCACTCCAGCCTGCTGTCAGCATGCATTTATTGTGGCAGAAGTGCTCATTTCCTCATTCCCTGCATCAGCACTCTTCCCTTCCTGCAATTAGGACTGCCAAATCAGGAGGGAAGCTCTCTCCACCCCCACCCATGAAGGATTTTCCATTTCTTAAAGGGCCCTGGCAAGTGGACAGGACTCAAGATTCCAGCCTGCTCCTGAGCCCAGCCTACTCATGTCCCCCTGTTTTTTTTGCTTGCTCGCTTGCTTGTTTTATTATTAAATTTATATCCTGCTTTTTCTTATGAACGCGAAGCAGCTTACATTCTCCTCCTCCTCTGCTCTCAGTCTTATCCCCCATGAAGCAGGTTGGGCGGAGAGTCTGTGACTGGCTCCATGGCCAAGCAGGGACTAGAACCCAGGGCGCCTGGGCCCCAGCCCTGTACTCTTAACCACATCACCACACTGGCTCTCAGTGTCCTAATCAAGTCTGTCCTCCACCCTGAAGCCTCCCTTGCCGCCAGCACCCTTTTCTTCAGAAAAGCTGCTCTGCTGAAGTAGCAACACCACCCCTGAGGCTCCTTCTGCAGCACCCAGGCACTTTCAGCTTCCTCCGCTTCATGCTGTCAGATGTATGGGAGGGTTGCAAAGCAGTGAGTGAGACTGGTAATCACAGGCAAATTTCGAGGCAGGATAGGGAGTCGGTAGCAAAGGCAGAGCAGTTAAAAGTAAGGGAACATTATCACTGGACATTCACTCTGTCCTACTTGTGCAAGGCACAAACTACCAAATAAAAGATTGCAAATGCCTTGCTGACTGTCCCTGGTGTCCTTTCTTCAGGATCTTCATGGGAAAAAATTAAAAATCCACCCCAGGGCAGAAGGTGCTGACAAGGGATGAGGGAGAATGGTAACAGTGCAGCTTTCTGCTCCTCTGGCCAGGCAGCTCTCTCGCCCTTCTGAACAACCCATGATAAGATGTCCCTGCTGGAGTCAGATGTCACAACAGATGTCACACCTTTGAACAGACCATGGGTTCTCAGGTGGCTTGTTGCCAAAAAAAAAAAAAAAAACCCCACCAGCAAAAAACCTCCCTGGGTTCAAACCTCAGGCTGGTTCACCCTGCAAACCACCTCAGTAACAACTGCTGTGGCTTAGCATGATGTGCAAAGCAAGTCACCGTCTGCATGCCCACAAGGTGTAAATGTTGAGCCACTGAGCAGGGCAGTCCTGAGCATCTTAATGCCTGTGAGCAGCTTACGGGAGTTACTGCTTGGCCTTATTTTTACATCCTCAGTCAGTGATTCCTGAATAATGGAACTTGACCAGCCACTGTTTACTGGGACACTTGTGGTAAAAGTCTTAGTAGTAGTAATCATGGAGAGAAAATGTATATTTGTATGTATAGTGTGTGTGTGTGTGTGCGTTCGCGTGTGTGCATGCATGCATTGTGCACACACTAAGGTTTGTGTACCTCCCTTTGACTAGCACAGGCCATAAAGGGCCAAAATATACAAAAATCCAGGTCAGACAGGAAGGTACGCTAAAGTCATTAATCTGTCATCTTAATAAAGCAGCGAGACTCTTTATTTCAGAATCTAAAACGTAATGAGGCAATGTATTACTCCTCATTCCAGGATCACTGGTGGGCGGGGGGCAGGTGATCTGTGTATTTAAAGCAAGGGTGGGCCACCTGCAGCCCTTAAGTTGCAGGCAACACCTGCCACTGCCTTGCGCAGCCTCCAGGGTACCCCATGTCCCTTCCAAAATAATTCAAGCTACAGATGATGCTCTGTAGAAGCTAAATGTGCAAGCTTGGTCAGAGGAAATAAAATACTCACACCTGATATAAAACATAAAAGTAGGAACTTTTTCTTTTCATTCTAACGATGATTCTAATTCTCCAATGAAATGTGCTTAATTTACATTTTCTCACACCCTTAGAAGGGAAACATTTCTTTTTAAAATGGATCAGCCAGAAAAGCACTCAGAAATAGACCACTAAAGGTAGTCCAATAAAAAAAGCCATTTGCTGACTATCAGCAGAACAGCTCATTGATTTCTAATGAATTGTGCGTTCATTAGATAAGCAAAAGATCAAAATGCAGCTATGGATTGCCTGAATGTTTACAGCTGTTACATGTCCATTTTTGTAATGTATTCATAATCATATATTTACCCCCTGGATAAGTCCTACTAGCTATACCTTTCTTAGATTTTTTTAACAACGCAGTTTAAAAGAATTAAAAGAATCAAACTGTTCCCCAACTATGTTTCCAGGCTGTGCTTGCAGCGATTGTAATGGTCAATCTGAAAGGAATGTTCAAACAATTTGGAGATATCGCTCACTTCTGGAGGACCAGCAAGATTGAACTGGTGAGTCATGCAGATCAATGTCTCTTTGAATCTCTGACAGCCACTCTCCTTTGTGACCCAATGGGGCAAAAAAATAAATAATTATCAGCCTCACATATATGCTAAGAAAAAGAGGTTGGGGTCATGCCAGGCAGTTTGATGACCTGACTGTACAAAAAAGGCACATTTCGTGTTAGGCATAAATAGGGAGCAAGTCAAAAATAGAACTACTAGAACTATCATGCTGCCCTTATGCAAATCTGTAGTGTGAGCACACTTGGAATACTGTGGAGAGTTTAATCACCAGACCTAAAAAGGGTATTGTAGAGTTGGGAAAAGTACAGAAAAGGGCGACTAAAATAATCATGGGTCTGGAGCAAGTCTGCTATGAGGATAGTTAAGAAATTGTTTAGCTTAGAAAAAAGGTAAGTTCAGAGGTACCTGATAGAGGTGTACAGAGTTATGCATGGCAAGCAGAAAGTGAAGAGGGAAACATTTTTCTCCTTCTCCCACAGTACTAGAACGCAGAGTTATCCCATGAAGCTGATTGGTGGGAGCTTCAGCACAGATAAAAGGGAGCACTTCTGCACACGACCCATAGTTAAACTATGGAATTCACTTCCACAAGATGTGGACAGCTCTAAAAGTGACTTGGCTAAATTCATGCAGGAGAAGGCTATTGATGGCTGTATGCCAGCTGCATCATCAGAGACCATATGCCTGTTTATGGCAGCTGCTAGAGCACATGAGTGGGAGGATGCTGTTGCCGTCATGTCTTAACAGGTGGACCCCTGTGTGAACAGACTGTTGGGCCAACGGGACCTTTGCTCCGCCCCAGCATGGCTCTTCTTGGGTTGTCGTGGCAGGATGCTTTTCTGGACTGAACAGGCGAAGAGGGCCTCTGATCATTTTCTTCTGCAGTCTGCCCCCCTCTGTGCACTTGCAGTGGTTGCAGTTAGCTCTTCTCAACTCACAACTTTCCTCGTGTGTGTGACCTTCCTGAGCCATGGTGGCATTTTTAAAAACGCTTGTTTTCAGTGGCTGCCAGTTAGCCTTGCATTTGCTGCTAGGCAATAGAAATTTTGACATTTCTATGGACATTTTGCAAATGTAATGGGGTGATGGGTGGGAAAGTTCCCCAAGAGGAAGTGGGAGAATCAAAGCCCTAGACTATGCAGGAGTAACCGCTTAAAATCAAGGCTGCTCCCAGTCTGCTCTGCATTGAGAAATTACCACTATGAAGTGCCTAGGACCTTGTTCCAGTTTATCTTTGTTGGGTGTCAAGGTCACCATTTTCTGTTACATTATACAAGTAGGAAGATCCCTCTTGGAGAAGGCAAAGGGAGAGCAGCACGCGAGCAGAAAGGTTTCCCATCACATGGGCTATTTATTTATATATAAGAACAAACAGTAATATATTCTGACATATGTATAGTGCTTCAAAATAGTTTCTCATTTCCACACAGCCTGAATGCTTGTATCTAACTGAGGCTAACCAGACTTTTCTTTGAGTCTCTTGAAAACTTGTTTGTTTGTTTGTTTAGGCTATCTGGATGGTGGCTTTTCTGGCCTCTGTTTTTATGGGGTTACACTACGGTTTGCTCGCTTCAATAACATTTGCAATCATTACCGTCATGTACAGATCTCAAAGGTGAGGCTGACTTTTAAACCTTTGTGTATTCAACTGAAAGTTCTTGATACTGAATGCAAAAAAGGGCAGACTCTATTCTCAGTGCAATTGGCGCAGTTTGTTGAGTGGCTCATTTTCTGTACATGTTTGTTCTTACAAGAAAAGGGGGAGGTGGGACAGATCACCAGAGCCGCTTCCTGGAGCACTTGCCCCACTTGGTCCTTCGTTTGATGAGCGATCGCTGCTTTCAGCTTCTCCCAGCCCCATCCGTTCCTGCCAGGACAACTGAAAGTATGTCACAAAGAAGAGCCCCTGGAAAAAGCAAACATTTGTACAGCAGTACAAAACATTGTACTTTGTACCATGCAAAGCTTTGGAAGACATCTAACTATAACATGGAACTATAAGGCTAAATTAAACATAAAGTTAGGAGCAATAAGCAGTCAAACAGTGTCCTTTTTAACAAATTACTTTAGATCATCAATACACATATACATACACGGTTGTCATTATCTAGCTTATTTTATGCCTGATTTAATAGTCAGCATTGGCTGTGTACATCATGGGGAAATCATAAGCAGAAATCATTGTTACTAGCTAGCAGCTTCATAATTGCAGCGAAAGACACAGATGTGGGCCATTTGAGCATTCTTCCAAAAGGTAAGAGGATTCTGCACCGTGAGCATCCAGTAAAGAGCTTTTGCATTTCCTCTTAATTAGTCATACACAATCAGCAAAATTTGTACAGGATTCAGAAAAGAGCAAGGGAGAAGCAAAATAGTCTCCTATAATTTCAGGTACAATAGGAGACCTCCTCCCCGCCCCCCGCCCCCCCCAGTAACAGGTTTGAAATGTAAGAAGGCTGAATATGTGTATATTTATATGTTGACATCAGGCACCAGAACATGCCCTTTGAAACTGTGACTGAACTGCGTGCATTGCTGTTAATTCTAAAATCTGCACTTTTGCACAGATTTACACAGAATTCAGCAGTGTACACTTTTCTTTCAGTGCTGAGCCTGCTGTAGATTTTTACTCAAGATTTTGGCACCAACTTGCACTCTGCTTCACAGTGAGCAATGTCGCAAGTGGCAGAACCTGTTTTGCTTCATATAGGTAAATGCTGGGAATGCACACCGTTGTTGGAGATGGAAATTTTGTTTTGTGTTCTAAATGGGGTTCCCAGGTGTGTGCCACGTTCCCTTGTGCTTCTGCTGTCATTTCACTTATTTTATTTTATTTATTAAAACATTTCTATGTCGCCCCATTCACCAAAGCCTCGGGGCGGCTCACAACACACTTACTTGCCTTCCACATCTTGTCTCCCTCTCTTCAGTTTCACCAACCTCCTGATTATCTCCTATAGCCCAGCATAGGCGACTTGTGGCCCTTCAGAAGTTTTCCCTTCTAACTCTCTTCAGTCCCACTGGTGCTGTGCCATCATGGGAGTTGTCAGAACATCTGGAAGAGCACAAGTCGTCCACCTGAGTTGCAGCCTCCCTACCTTTGACTTTTCTTTCACTCTCCCAAAACAACCCCCTCACATTTCCCATCTACATGAGGCGTGCCACTATTTGTGGATAACTGAAACCAGACCCGGGATCAAACAAAGATGCAAGAGTGCCTCTGACAGAGACTGCTTTTGTAGCCTATTAATATTTCTCTGACTATTTCTCTGCAGTCCACAATACAAAATCCTTGGACAGATTCCCGACACAGCCATTTACTGTGATGTTGAAGAGTACGAAGAGGTAAGGTGGTAGTAAGGGATTTAGCACCCTTTCAGAAGCAAAGCAAGTGTTTCCTTTGATTAATGTGGGAAAGAGCAGTAACAAAGCCTTGGTTGCAAGACACTGCATTCCAGAGTGCAAGGACCCCTAACGGGATTCTAGTGGGTGCCATTGTGCCTGCACAACTAGGGTGGGATGTCCATGGACTATTTTTCCTGTCTGTGATTGCTCCATTCATTTGTACAGTGAATGGACCCTTCTTGCTGAGAAGTGGCAGTGGAGGCAGAGTGCAACTGGCTGTTTGACAAGGGTGAGCTTTTCTCCTCTTCCAGATAATTTTCAGCAAGAAGGTTCACTCCCTGTACAAGATGACAGAAAGATCTGTAGAGGGAGCAAAAAATCCACCCTGCTGAAAATCAGCCAGATGATGGGTGAAGCCAACCCTCTACCAAAATTCTCGAGTCAGCAGTGTTTGGGGGAGCTTACCCCACATTAGGGAGGTTTTTTTTGCAGATCAGGAATACCAAGGAGAATTGTCTGCTTTGAACTGGAAGCTAGGAGGAGAATGAAGAGAGGTGTGGGGTGTGTTTGGAGGTGAGAAGGGGATTCAGCCAGTGCAGGTGTTAGCATCCTGTCCTTTCATGTTTGCTTCGGGTCTGATCTGCAAATGCAGCAGAAAGTAGAGGTGAAATTTTAGAAAGGGTGACAGCACTTCAAGGTGCAGGTGGAGGTCAGTTTTTTTTTTTTTTTTTTTTTTTTGCGTACCTGCAATCTGAAGTGGTTCAAACCAGTTCTAAGACATAATGCTGTATGTAAACCCAGGCTCAGAGGGTTACCAAATCCAGGATTCATACAAAGACTGCAGGTCAGAGCAAATCAATGCCCATTCACAAGGTGATACAGTCTATGCCTTTTTTTTTCCAGACTTGGAGAGTCTTTTGTGCACTCTTGTATTCAAAGCCATGTGACAATCCTCTCCAGCCCAATTTGCATGAGTTGGTGTGAGGGGGTTGAGGCATCCCCCACTGAAGCAAAGGCCGCATAGCCCCCTCCATATTAACTCTTGCCTCCTCACAAATGCATATATAAACCTCTGGGTATGCTTTAAGGCCACTCCTAAGCAAACTTTTAAGGTTGCCCTCCTTTCTTGGGAAAAGCTAAGATAGAAAGACTGCTGACCGACAACCAGGACAGTGATTCCAAAGTGATGTCTCTTAATTTGATGAATGGCTCGCCCTCATGACAAGAAGAAGCAGAGTTGCCTGCAGAATGAGGGAGAGCAAACAGCCCAGAAAGGCAGCATTCATAGGTCTGGGTCATGTTTGGGGGAAGCATTGTAGGTGGCTGTGGAGAACGGAGCAAACAGTGAACTGGGTGGTCAGTCATTTCTTAAAGACTGCCCAGATCACTGCAACATTCTGATTTTGAATTAACTCTTGTGGTCTCCCCTCCTTTTCCCCACCTTCAATTTATCCCAAGAAAGCCATAGAAACTTTAATCTTGGTTCTTTCTATGGTATGGGAGAGTTAAGTCTCTGGATGATGACACACCTCAGACTTATGGAATGGAGACTAGAGGATCAGGCAAGTTCTAATAAATGTGTATTTAGTAGCAGTATGAGCAAGGTGTGCTGAATTGTTTTAAATATCTTCATACTTTAGGTGAAAGAATGTCCCGGAATCAAAATATTTCAGGCAAATGCCCCATTCTATTTTGCCAATAGTGATTTATATATCAATGCACTGAAGAAAAAAGTAAGTATCAACCTTTAATTTCTATCCTTTATCCTCTGGAAAATCATCCAAAACATTTTGTAGCTAATAGCTAAATCGTTGTAGTTAGCCATGGTTGGCAAAGCCATCTGTCCAGCTCATTTGTACTGAAAATAGCTGATGGATTAATTCTTGAATGACTTGAATTCTCAAGTATGAGTTTGAGTATACTTGGTTCCTGATCCCATGCATGCATCAAATCTAATGTAGCACACTTAAAATTAACTAGCATGTCACGGAAGAAGCATTAACGTTTTAATAGGGGAGGATGGGTGAGTTGGTTAAGATTAGATGCTGAATCATCCAGCATTCCTGCAGATTCCATATTTGAATGTGTTTAGCTGTCCTAAGTGCTGCTCTTTAAAAAATGTAGGCTTCTAGTAGCTCCAAACGTCTTGTCATAAATCATAGCTGCATTAAAATTACACTTTGAAGTAAAAATTAATTCGCCAATTTAGCAGCTGAATGAATGCTATGTATTTAATAGCTGCTTGCTTAATGAGCTTATTTCAGGAATAATGCATTTATTATGCTAGAAGAATTCACAGGCCCCCTCCCGCATTTTGGCTGCTCCTTGACAAGGTGAAAGCCTTTCTCTCTGTTTCTGTGGTAGACAGGTGTGGATCCCACTGCAATATTGGCCGCAAGGAAAAAAGCCCAGAAGAGGCATGCCAAGGAACTGAAGCACCTGCATGAGCACAAGAAGAGAGCTGTCTTGAAAATGGTAGGTGCTGCATACATGCACTCCCTCTTACCTTCAGTTAAGAAATCAAAAACCATCTTGGGAATCAGTTTGCTCTTATCAAGTGTTAAGTTCTTTCCTTAAGGGTTGTGAGGAGCGAAATTAACACAGTTAACATGAGCTCTTGGTGCTTACTTGTAACCAGGGTTTCCACTTAACCTGGATTGGAGATGATGGTTTAAACAGAAACCTGGCTAGTTTTAAGCAAGGTTAAGTTTTGTCTCAACAGTTCCATTAATGTATGCTAAAGAAGGAAAGGGGAATTCATATTCCTGAGGTTATCTTCAGATTTCCCAACTGTTAAGGAGGAGCTGGCATTGACACTGTATGTTTTGCAGTTGACTTGTTTTGTGCTAGCTTATAGACATCACTGAAATGGGAACATACAGATCAGTATGTAGTGCACTCATTTGATAGTTCCTTTTCTAAATCTGAAAGAAATGGAATGGAGTGCATTTGAACAGTAGCCTGCTTTGATATAATTTGTATTAATTACAGCCATTGAATTGGATTAAGATTTGATCATACTTAGAGTGATGCATTTGAAAGCAGTGGGACTTGGGTTAGTTGCAACATTAGGTTAGGCTGCTCTGAGTATGACTATATTTGGATCCAAACCACTGTGGCGATCATTATATGAATAAGATGTATATCAAAGGTGGTAGTCAGTCTGATTAAGTTCTGTTCCCCCCACTGGGACAAAAACGTCTGCCATTACTGTTCTTCACAATGCTCGTTACAAAAGCCGCTACCACTGTTTAAGAGGCATAAAAGGACAAAGTTTGAGAGTAGAATCCTCTGGATTAGATTCAGGTTTTTGGAAATACCTTCTGCAAATGTTTATTCAGGTGTAAAGATAGTCCAAGGACTGATTCACACAGCTGGGTTTTGAGATGTCTTGTGAAAATGGCCCTGTACAGAAAGACTGCTAGCTTTTACATTCCAAAATTATTTTCTAGCACTTTTCAGTTTAGGTAATAAGCATTTTTTCCTACACAGAGAGCCTAATTCACATTTTACTGTGTGATGTGGAGGGTATGATTCTTTCTCTTCAAAATCATAAGTGACTTAGTCAAAAGTAACTACAAAAATGTTGAGGGGATTAGGCTGTAATCCTGTGTCCACTCACATGGGCGTAAGCCCCATTGAAATCAATAGGACAAACTTCTGAGCAAACCTTCTAAGCTTGGGATAGGGAATATGGGGTCTTCTAGAAGTTTTGGTCTACAGCTCCCATAAGCTTTAGACAGGTGATGAAAGATGATGAGAGGGTCCAGTATCTGGATTTCTACACACTGGCCATGCCTGGATCAGAAAGTAAAGCTGAGTTATTTTCTCATGTGCTTCTGTAATAAAGAATATCAAAATGAAAAATGAGTAGATAAGCTGAGTCTCTTGAAATACTTATCTGCTTTCATTTACACAGAGAACAAATGTGCATATAGAGCTGACTTTTGGAGCACCTATGCATTTAAAAAAACTCTCCTTTAATCTTGCATTTGTTCTTCCTCTATCAAAGACAAATGACACGGAGAATACTGCAAAACATGAAGTGATGAACAGTGAGCTCCCGCTTAATGGAAAATTCTCTACAGCGGCGTCTGCTGTGCCAGACTCATCTCCTGATGAGCTCGAACAGTTTATGAAGCAAGTGACCAATATTCACTCAATCATTCTGGACTTTTCACCAGTGAACTTTGTGGATTCTGTTGGAGTAAAAGCCCTAAAATCGGTAGGTAGTTCCTGTTGCTTTATCACACACCCTGATGGTCACTTACAACCAAAGTACATGATGCCATTTAAAGTACCTGCAGAAAGCAAAGCTCCATATGGCTAAGTACAAAGTCAAAGAGCTTAACTCAGTGGGAAGATGACTTTAAGAACACCCATTCATTTCCATGAGGCTTTCATGAGAGAATGTCCCACTGCCATGTGCCTTTAGTATTCTCTGTACATTGTGAACAGCAACTCCCATGATCCCTAGCCATCAACCATGTTGTCTGGGGCTGCTGGTTGATTAAAATCACCAGGCTGATTTTAATGCTGTTTCCCTTTTCTCCTTCCCCTTGTGCAGCTCAGATGTTTAAACTATAATAGCATGGCTTCTAACGATAGGCAGCATCTCATGTCACATTAACTCACCCTGGCATAAGCCATGGCGGGTTCGTTGGTACCTGAACAACCCAAACTGCACCTACAGACCACACTCTCCAGGTTGTCAAGACACACCAACCCATGGAGCTCGTCACCCACTGTGGATTGTCATGTTGTACAAAGCCACTCACTGTTGGTGTACATTTTGTATTATGTATTCTGATTGTGTATTTTATGAAATGCATACATAATATACATGGAGATTAACTGCAAGTTCATTTCTGCACTGTTGTAGATCATAAAAGAGTATGAAGAAATTGGTATTTCACTATATATAACAGGCTGTAATGGTAAGTTAGTGTATGTGGACTATCGGTATGGCTTTTTTAGATGTGTGTGTGTGTGTGTGTGTGTGCGCGCGCGCGCGCGCGCGCGCGAGAGAGAGAGAGAGAGAGAGAGAGAGAGAGAGAGAGAGAGAGAGAGTAAAAGAGATGGATACAGACACACTAATGTATGAAAAATGTTGTGACAGCAAACTTGGAATTTGCCTGAGCAAACGTCTTTAAAATAGGGCTGGTCAGTTTGTAGGCTAAACCCCTGGAAGGCCATAACTCCCAACCCTCATAACTCACCATTGGTTCTGCTGGCTAGGACAGATGGGAGTTGTAAGCCAGAACTTCTGGATAGCCACAGGTTGTCCAACCCATAGCTGATCCCCATCCCCACTCTAGGCTAGTATCACCTGCTTAGCAGCAGCTCTCGAGCAGAGTTCTTTTCCTAAGACATTATCTTTAACAGAGGTGCTGAGTATGGGATTGAACGCAAGATCCCTGTCACTAAGTTGTGTCCCTTGGCTGCCTGCTCAGTGCCATCTAATGCACAATCTGCTTGTCTCCCCCATCTTCCTTCCATCTGCAGTGCAGATGAAGCAACTGAAGCATCAGCAAATTCGGCCAAATGTTGGTGCAGGGGACAAAGCTTATGTAGCCCTTGTCCAGGAACATGCAGCCATCCATATTCTGCAGCAAGAGAAATCATTCATGCAAATGTGCAGTCCATCCTAGTAACTGAAGCCTCCTGAAGTAGCCCACTCAGTCTGTACCTAAGGAATTAGATATTGGATCCTTAAAATGTGTTTATCTGACTTCTGACGTGCATTTACTGCATTTTTATATTACCCAGGACCTGAACTTCTCAGGATCATGAAAATATTTGTCTTCATTTACATCACCTGTTATAGTTGAGTGAACAATCTGCAAGTCCGACTTGTGGCTTTTGCATCCAAGCCATTCTTTACATATAGAATGGTAAAAAGAAAGCAGTAAAAAGAACCGTTTCATTGGATTAGTGCAGTGATTCATGTGGGTAGTCAGACATTCCCTGACTCAGCCACATGTGTCTGCGATGCGTAATCCCCAGTAAAACCAACAGCAGCAGTAGTGTTCAGTTGTTGGGAAGAGAAACATGCCTAACGGAGCGTCACACAGCTGCTTTTCCTCTTCTCAAACACCAGTAACCACTGCCACATTTCTCATACTGGAACAACGTGCATGCATCCTACATCACACCAGGAACTGTGTGCAAAAGCTCCCATTTTGTGACCTAATACCTGGGTGGCTGCATACTTCTGCATGCATATAATCCCTAAGTGGAAAGTGGCAGCAACGTAAAACACCTTGCAATTAAAGTTTCCATGCCATTGGTTAAATACACATTCTTCTCTTTTTCCCATCCAGGATCTGTTTTGGACAACCTCACTAGACTGCACTTCTTTGACAAGCCTAACCTGAAGCACGTGCTCTTCCCCACTATTCATGATGCTGTACTCACTAGCCAACTGAAAGGCCCATCTGCCTTAGAGACACCATTAGATGCTGTCATTTGTACTCCTGCATCATAAAAGATTTTGGCAGTGCATTCATTGACTTCCTAGGGCTCCTTTTCATTAATTTGCACAGATTACACAAGAGCCCCAAACTAGCTAGTCTTACGGGTATATGACATGGTAGAAGGGCAGTTGCTTTTTGCTGGAAGACTGAGGAAATTGAAGCCTTAATACTTTCAAAACTTTTGTGCCAGCAGAGGCCGGAAAAACACTTAAACACAAGTGTACAAAACTGAAGTATGTATTTTCCTGCAAACATTCTAGAATGTTTTCAAGTTTTCTTCTTGTGCAAGAGATGTCTGTTCAGTATGTTACATTTTTAGCAGTGTTTTTACTGCAGATTAGAAATTGTCATGTGTGGTGGGGGGGGGGGCTGCTCCATGATTCTTGCTCTCCCGAGAATGTAGCCAAATGTCTCACTGTTTGATAGTGTCCTTATACTGACTGCATTGTACAACTGTCTTCAAGAATTTTAGAGCAGATTTCCAACTTGACACTAGATAGACGTAGCAGCTCTAAAAAATCATACAAAAGACATTTCCAGGCTTTGAGTCAAGCACTAGGATGACCATGATGTTACCATTGTGTCTTTTTTTAAAATGAAATGTGTCATAGCCCCTTATGGTCCAGTACTAGCTTTTTATTAAGTTATTTTCATGTGCAGCAAGTAACTGTGCTTGGCACCGTGGCAACCCTGAAGCGGGCTTACAGTTAGTTGAGCGTGAAATGGAACAACTAGGAGCCAAACGAAAGAAACAAAGCACATTTCAAAATGCAACTGGCTGGCAGTCACCTCTGTGAACCATAAACTTGAGGAATGGTACCTCCCAAAAAGATGGGATTTTGTTTACTTCATATGCTGCAAAGGTCAGTTTTTCAAGGTCATTTTTAAAATTAATCCTGCTTTATCTGCCATTTCTCTTGAATACAGTGAAGCTACCTACTGCTGTGTAATGAGCAGTGTACAGTGCAGAAGTGTCAAACAGGCAATTACTTTTCTATTACTCTGTCACTTGGGCCATTTTCATTCTGTTAGCTCAAATGGCGTATGAGCCTGCTAATGGCCCAGTACTTCATGTGGAGGGTTATGCAGTATATTTCAAAATGCATGGCTTCCACACACTCCTGTCCCAGTCTTGCTTCAAGCTAGTGTGTTTAGCCCATTTTATTATGGTACACCTGTCTAGGTACCGCAACAGGATTGTCCAGCTCTATTCAGTTAGGACAAATTCTGTGCCTACACTAAAAGTCCCTTTAACTCATGGGTGTACCTGCAAAAGCTCCCCTCCCCCAACTGTGAAAATGACCTCAATTTAGTTGGTCATGTTCCTTTTCCATTTTTTAAACTTGTTATTTATCACCAGTCCAAAAAAGATCAGTAGCTTCAAATGTAAAATGCCATCCAAACCACCAATTTGAAAAAGGAGGCATTGAGCTAATCATTCTTTGTTTGTCATTTCTACTGACACTAATTTGCTGCACTGCAGCAAAGCAACCCCAATTTATATATGGGAAGACCAAATGTCTGAAACAGACTTTGGAGCGACTCAGAATGCACTGTGAGTGTATTAGGTGGTATTTTGATACATTTTGTAATATGAATTGTGACTACATTTTTGTGTATTTTGCTACTCTGCTGAGTGTGCAAGCTCTTTTGCTTTTATAACTAAACATTGCTTTCAAGTACTTTCAGAAGTGTGTAACAATCCAAAATAAAAAGCTATTCAGACTAGCAGGGCCTTTAATTTAACCGATGGTAAAAGTCTGTGCCAGTTAACGTCTTTGCTTATACCAGCAGCTACCATGTTACTCCCAGTCAAAATACATCTTCTAGTCTTTATGGCCAAAATTCCTAGAGATGCTAACTGTACATTCCTTTGCATTAAGCAGACCCAGTCCTGTGTTACACCCTTGTTATTCCTCACTGATACATAAGAACTCAGCCTTGTGCCTCATTTGCACATACAACATATCTCAGATACAACACATACTACATATGTGAGGAAGAGGAGGTGCATCCAAACAAGGTTAAGAGGCTTGCATTAAATGAAGAGAAATGTGTATGTGTAAGTTTAAAACAAGAGTTAGAGCCCACCATCACTTACTATTACAGTAAATGTAAATTTTGTAAACTTTTCAATAACTATCATAATTTGGAATGTTCCATTTATTCCTACAGTTGTCCAACTAGGTTACATAACACACGCACAACAAATTATTACTCTTTATATAAGGTTATTTGTATGAGGAAGAGGGGGTTTTTTTTGGAGACACAGGATCAGTTGTAAGTCATATAACGAGGTGTAGCACTAAATTTAGCGTACGACTTGATGACTTTGTTAACAGCTTCCAGGAAGTCTTTTTCAGTAGCAATTTTTCTCCTTGCTCGGATGGCAAACATACCTGCCTCTGTACAGACACTCCGAATTTCAGCACCTTGTGAGAGAAAAAAATGGATTTAAAAACAATTTGAAGGACTAACCACCACAAAATGAGGAGAGAGCAGGGATGAGCCACTGTACTCAACCTACCTGTGCTGTTGGGACACAGTCGAGCCAGCAACTCAAATCGTATGTCTCTTTCCACACTCATGGAGCGAGCGTGGATCTTGAATATGTGAGTTCGTCCCTAAAATAACACAGAAGGATCAAGCCATGCACAACCATGTTAGCCCTGGGATTAACAGTGAATAACGGCTCAGCCAACAGCGAGTGCCTTGAGGAGGGCCAGCACCTCTGCTGCCAGGGAACAAGCAGCAACCCCAGGCCTCTGCCCTGACGCCTGTGTGGCACAGCCTCTCGCTGGGCAACTCAGAGGGAGAGGCAGAGAAGTGAGCAGGGGAGGGGGGAGGGAGGGAGACCGGGCACGTGCACAGCAGCATGAAGTAGTGATAATCTTAGGAGAAAAAAGGGTGGGGCGGCCATGGTTCTTCTCACCACTGGCAGGTGACCTACAAAGTATCACCACTGCAGAAATACAACCCTCATTTGGAAATACTTGGGACAGAATAATTAGTTGATCCAATCCACCTACACAAAGGCACATTTAAAAAGCACATAGCTCAGACAGCTAATAGAAAAACACCATTTCAGTCTGATAAATACACAGTTATTGACATGGCCTAGTAAGAAAATACAGCAAGCTTCACCTCCAAATCTGGTAGACTAAATTCAATCTTCCTGTCCAATCTTCCAGGTCTCATCAGTGCAGGGTCCAAGGTATCTGGTCTGTTGGTTGCCATGAGAACTTTAATATTGCCTCTGGGATCAAAGCCATCAAGCTGGTTTATCAATTCTAACATAGTGCGCTGGACTTCATTATCACCTCCAGCCCCGTCATCAAAGCGAGCTCCTAGAGAAAGACAGTGGCAAAAACACATAAGACATCCTTCATTGCTATTTAATCAAAGAAGCCATTTCCACAATGTAATTTAAGTTACACTCTTTACCAAAGCCAGCTACAGATACCAAAAATTTTTTTAAAAACTTTATTTTCTAGAGAAAATAAGTATCTTAGGAAAAGGAAGTGCCATTACATAACGTGATTTTTTTCTGTGCTTCTTGGCAGTGCTACAGAGGTCAACTTAGCATAGTAAAGCACAACAGGCAAGGATCAAGTTGTTACCCAGTGCTTTTGCCTGATCTTTTCCAACGTTTACCTGGGCAGAAGACTCTGTCCACAGATTCTTTCAAGTGAGCAATCTCCCCGTGGGCTAGCTAAGGTAGTACAGTCCACTTAGGACTATACAAAAAGTAGCTCCCTAAGTGAGAATTGTGTTCCACATTCAGAAGCTTACTGAAATTCAGGAAAAACTTCAATCTCACATTTTAAATAATCACTCAACACAAAGCACATTGATATTTTTTGAGTTTGGAAGCAAACGAAGGGCAAATCCAAACGAGGATAGCGTGCTCAGAATATTTGCATTATAAATAAAAGTGAGTGTTCACATTCAGTGTCACACAACAAATGGAATAAAAGCACAGATATGCATCCCCCTGACCAACCTCCAATAGCATCAATTTCATCAAAGAAGATCAGGCAAGCCTTTTTTGTTCTGGCCATTTCAAAGAGTTCTCGAACCATACGAGCACCCTATTAAAAGAACGAGAGAGAGATCGTAGTTTGTTCGTATGAGCCACCTACACTCGAGTTAGGTTTTGAAAGCAAATCTCAAAGCTTCCTAGATGAAGAGTATAGTCAAGAGGTTGGAGTATACTCAAATGCATGCAGCTCTGCGAAATCATTTCAAGTTACAGTCCCTTGCACCTATGACAGAACAGTGTGGGCCTCCTAATGACCCTTGGTTCCACACCTAGCACATACCATACAATCTTGCCTGTACACCTTACACAGTGGACAGTCCCCTAAATCTAAACAGATAGTCAGAACTGCCATCAGCCTAAGATCATGGGAACAAATAACCAAGTTTCAACCCTATTTCATAACACAAATATTACAAACATAACCTTTGTGTATTAAAATCTGCACACAAAAGCAGTATGAAGTCATAAGGCTTTTAGCCACAGGTTCTATAACTTAGGGATAGCGAACGCTCTTGAGCTGCCCTACCTCCAGCACACAGCAGAACTACAATATTTCATTACCTCTCCCACGTATTTCTGAACCAACTCGGAACCAATCACTCTGATGAAGCAGGCATCAGTCCTATTGGCAACAGCTCGAGCACAGAGGGTTTTGCCTGTTCCAGGTGGGCCAAAGAGAAGTACCCCTTTGGGGGGCTCAATCCCAAGATTGACAAACCGTTCTGGCTGTGGTGAGATGGGAGAAAAAGATTTAAAAGCTGTGAAAATAGGATTAAAAGCACCATAGAAGCAATAGCTGTCCCCACACAGCACCGGGCCCAACATCCAGCAGAGGAAGTAGGCCATGATTGTCACAGCATTACAGCATTAGCACTGTCAATAAACTATTTTTAAAGAGGTTGAGCAAAAATCAAGAGGGAGCCTGGAGGGTAAATAGGAATCGGCAAGGAAGTGTGGTGGTAACAAGAAAACTGGTTGTTATGGCTCGCTAGATGCCACTGCACTGCAATTACCATTGGCCTTAGCCAGCATAATCAGTGGTGAGGGCTAATGAGAAGTGTAGTACAGCAACAGCTACAGGGCCTCAACTTGCCCACTCCTGCTCCTAAGCCAAGTGGCCTTCACTGAAGCTTCAACACTGAAGTAGAGGAGAAAAGGCCACAAGGCATTCCTCTGGTGCGACCTTCCGCTTCCAGCAGTTACACATTCTCTCTGTGATCTCCCAGAGGCAGTCTCTCTCTGAGTATCAGATGCTAGAGAGACTGGTCACAAGGGAAGGCCTTATCTTTATTCCCTGATCATGAAAGAACACAGCTGCAGTAGGAAACCTATGGCACTCCAGACATTTTGGCCTACAACTCCCATCAGCCAATGGTGATGCCAATCCCTGGCCTAGAGGCATCTCTTTGCCTGCTGTGAGAAGCAAATTGCCAGACTGGATGGAGTCTTGTCTGATCAAGCAGAGGAATTCTTATGTTTCCCCAAAAAGGTTAAAAATGGGGAGCATCCTCAATCTTAAAAACCAGTCTATTCAAAAATAATTTGATGACTGAATAATTATTTTAGGTTGCTCTGGTGGCTCGTCAGATGGTGTTGGACTACCAAAGGCTTGACAAGCTACGACAAGAAAATGACCACATCAAGGTCCCTAAGTGAATAATACTTACATGTAGCAAAGGTGTTTCCACCACCTCCCTTAGCTTCTCAATCTGTTCTTTGCAACCTCCCACATCACTGTAAGTAACATCAGGCTTTTCCTCCACCTGTATAAAAAACCAATGCACACAGAGCTTGGCTATTTGCAATTGCAAGTTTTGCATGTGGATGGAGAATAGAAGTTGGTGTGAAGTCAGGTTAGAAAGGTTAAAGTGCTAAGAAAAAAATAAGAGAGCTCTTCACCTGCATCATAGTAACAGTTGGATCAATCTTCGGAGGTAAGGGAATGTGGATCTGATATTTGTTTCTGTCGACACTACAGAAATCAGTGGAAAAGTCATATTAATTTACTATGTCCCTTGAAATGTACACCTTCAGTATGAAATAGAAGTGGTTACACCAAAAAAATTTCAGGGGGGGTTATATGAGAACTAAAAAAACCCATGCATGCAGAATGTTGTAATATCAGTTACATTATGATTGTGTTGCTAGTGTAATGTAACAATTGCAGATAATGACCTAAGAAACTAACTTCCAATTTGTTTCCAAGCAGAGTTTCTGGGGTTGGCTATTACCTATACATCCTAAAATGGCCAGAGACCAGGATATTTGAAGATGGGTGGTTGACTAAGACCCAGAACAATGCCTTTTCAGTGGCAGCACTCCCAACTATCAGAACTTCCAAAGGTGGTTAGATTGATCCCTACTTTGATGAGGAGTCAAATATACTTTTCTTCCAGTTTCAGATCCCTTTATTTGCTTTACCTTGGCTTATTCTCAATATTCTCCAATGTTCAGCTATATTGAGATTGTAATTGTAATAAGCCACCTTGGCCTGTGTATGTTAAAACACACACACACACACACACACACACACACACACACACACGAATAAATAATGTATATACACAAATAATAAGGGCTGGTATCAACTCACCCAACTCTCATCCCTTCTTCAATGTCAGTAGGCGCGACTTGATCACTAAGATCCACCACAAATTTGGCAAATTGCTTAACATTGATAATATACTTGGGGTCCTCGGAATCTGCATTGATTATCTTAGTGCACCTAACCAGAAAAGAAAGCAATTCATCAATCAGTCTGTCTTCAAGTAAAGATTTTAATATAATTAACTCAGTAAAGTGTCCTTTACAGCACTGACTTCTTCAAAAATGTACACAGCAAAATATTATTTCTATTATTCTTATGTAAATAACCAAAACCCCAAACTCCCTTATAATCTATCTTTCTATCTTTCCTTCCTTCATAAAAACTAAATATTAGAAATAACATGAGAAGACACACCAGAAATACCCAGCAAAAAACTACAGTGGTACCTTGGCTCACGAACTTAATCCTTTCCAGGACTCTGGTTGTGACCCAAATTGGTCATGAGCTAAGTTAAATTTCCCCATAAGGTTCAATGTAAATAAGGCGAATCCATTCTGTTTTTAATTTTAATCTGTTTAATTTTTTTAAATCAGAAAAATTGTGAAGCAAAGTGACAAAGAACAACAAAGATCATGGCCATCTCCCTCCCCCACACCCTGTGCATGAGTGCAGCCATCTCCCCGTCCCCCAGCACGACCACGATGGCGCCCAGCATCCCTGCACACGCCCATCATCCCGGCATGCTGAGCAGGGAGACAGACGTGAACATGGGCATGCTGGGGGGGGAGACAGGCGCGGTCATGCTGGGCGGGGTGAGATGGCTGAGATTGCAGTTGTGCTCCTGCAGGAAAGACGAGCGCGATCTCGGCCATCTCCCCCCCCCCCCGCCCACAGCATGATCGTGGCCATCTCCCCACTCGGGGGGTGGGGAGATGACAGTGGTCTCAGTCACCACCCAGTGCGGAGTTCACAACCCGAGTCAAAATTTTTATGAAATTTTTGTTTGCGACCCGATTTGGTTGTGAACTGAGGTGTTTCTGAGCTGAGGTGCCACTGTACTTTCAAATGTTATCTCCTATCACTTCACATGGGTCTCAAATACTGATTCCTAAGGTCTGTGTCACTAGATTAGTTAAATATGGCAGTTTCCGGGACATGAAACTATCAGAATGAAACTCGCATGAAATTAAGAAGTACAAAAGCAGTTCCTAGGAATATGTAGTTGGGCAGGTTTCAGCTGGTGAGCTCCAATTCCTAGCTCATGTCCTTCATTTTTATGCCCCACCAATCTATACATTTGCTGTCTTTTTTCCACATTAATTTGAATATCCTAACAACTACATTGACACATCCCTCTATTTCCATCCTCTTTATCTTCCCTTTTCTCTCAAATCAAGAAAACTTTTCTCTTTTAAGTTCCTTGTAATTGTTCTTCAATTACCACTGCTCTTTTGAGCTTTTCAGAATAAACTATAAAAATTGTAAGAGCCAGTTCTACAGAACAGGGTAAGAAATATGACTTATGATCCTAAAGGGATAGGAAAAACTGAAAAGTTATCACTAACATGCATTACGGTCAGCCTGGAATGGCCTAGAGTGATCGACTTAGCCAGACCATATCAACTCCATCTTACTTAAATCTAAGAGGAAGAAACCTCAAGTGCACAATCAGTTGTGGGCCTTTGCTAAATGTCAGGTTGCCTGGATGCTGGCCCAAGATGCACACTCCTTGGCTGAGGTCATTGAAGTGTGAGAACCTCTACATGAAACCCACAAAAAGAGACCTCTCAAAATCACTGAAGGAGCCCTCAAACTGGTTAAATTGTGCAGGTCTCCAAACCATGAGGCATCTTCAGGAAACCGTCTTGGAACCAGGAGTCAGAAGATGCAAAAAGAGGGAAGGTAGGGAGGAACCAAAGGATATATTGTCCACTAGGGGTCACTACCGGTCTTTCTCTTTTGGTACTAGAGGACACTAGAGGTCCTTCTCTTTTGCTACTGATGCTAAAACTGTCCTATGAAGAACCTGAGACATCACCAGAGGAGATTGCATCAAGGTCTTTTCTCTATTTATTTATTTATTTGGAACATTTATATTACATTTATTAATACAGGTGCTAGAAGGTCTATCTTCCCAACAAAAGGGAGGGCTTGCCACGGGCACCAGGAACTGCAACACAGACCACAGATTTCCAAAGAACTAGGTAGGTAGCTTAACACAGGGGTGTGGATACTGAGAGTGCACTTTTTTGTTTTATTTGCCACTTGAAACCACTTATGCTTTGTGCTCTGAAACTGACTAGGAAATGGATCCACATGAAAATCAAAGTTCTAATATTTGTAATGTCATAGAACACCATATGGTGGAAGAGACCCAATGACATCTTTACTTTTAACAAGGATCACCCTTTACATACGAGAATGCAATTTCTTTTGAACAATTAGGTGAGCGATGCACACGTACCTTGCCACTTGCAGCGGCTGCTCACTTTGAAGAGTTTGTTTATCTGCAGCCAAATCCCAGAGTGCAGGGGGAGCCAGCCCAGTATCTGATTCCTTAATGCCTACAAGGACAGAGAAAAGAAGCCGCTGTGTCACTTGCATTTGCAGCATACTATATATTCAAGCTTGCCTATGCTGCTACCTATCTATACATGACAAAAAGGAACAGCCATTCTGCCAGTTGTGTCAATGCTAAGTAATGCTCAACAGGTTTGCAAATCTTACCGGGGGAAGGAAAAAATATTATGTTAAAAATATTAGACTGACTGCAGAAGCAAGCCAGTCCTCTCTTTAACATTTTATTTAGAACTTTTCGTAACAGCTAAACAAGTTCTAGCAATCCTTACATCACTGGAGCAGAAATTAAGATTGTCTACAGACAAAAGAAATGCATACCTGTGAGTTCATTGATTTTCTTCAGTAATTGCTGAATGTCATCTTCAACTTGCTTGATTTGTCTCGAGTATGTACTCTGGCCCTGAATTAAAAATATATTATGAGACTAAAACGTCACAGAAGATTTCCTGGCATGTGATTGTGATACTAAATTCTGTGATCTAGACCTATGAACAGATGAGCCACATCACTGGTCAATCCAGTCTAGTACCATCTAACATGGCTCCTCACAACCTCAAGTGAAGCATTTTTCCTAGACCTGGATTTTTTGCTGGAGATCATTTTGACAGCAGAGCCCAAGGGATGAACCTGAACCTTCTGCTTACAAAGCTGGCATTCTACCACTGAGCTACATCTTCTTCGAGAAGCCTGCCTTGAATTGAGTAGAAAAGAGAACATACTACCATTGTAGGATCTCTGGCCCCAATCTGTTGTGAATACCCAGCCTGTGTACACATCAGATCTTGCGTGCAAGGTCTGAGTTCTTAGCTCTGCCATTAAGGTATTTACTTTAAACTCCATACACCCCTGAAAATTGCACATGAAGGGTAACATTTTATATCTTTTCATCAAAGTGCTTGTGCATTTGTAATACTAAAACCTGGGGTTGCATCCTGAAGGAAGAATTCTGTTTCCAGATCAGCTGAAATGAAAACCCTCCAGCTTGAAAAAACTAAACTGACAACATAATCCTATGCATGTTTGCTTTGATATAAATGTCATTCTGTTCACAGGGGCTTTCTCTGTAAGTCAATTGGCTTTGGAGTACAATCTTAATTAAGTAACCTCTCTGGCCAAATCTTTAATCCCTTGTTTAATACAAATGTTCCCTGAACATTTCAGTGTGACCAATTGTCAGTTTTCCCCAGAAATTAAGTGACGTGAACTACTTACATAAGTTTTCAACAAGGCAATGTCACCTTCATCCAAAGCTGAAAGAGGCATAAGACAGATCATCTTAAAGAGTAAATCAACTACATATTGCTCTTCTCCCCAGCAGATAATACAAGCCCCAGGTGTCATAAGTCATTACAGTTGTTCTCTATCAAGTACCACCAAGGTTCCCAGTTCTAAACCTTAACTCGATGAACCTTTGAGCAAACAGTATGGGCTATAAGCTAATCAAGAACATCCATAAAAATACATGAACAAGATCTTGATTTTTTAAATTATGCTTTCTAGTTCTTTTCTACAATTTCAGTTGTACAGGCAAATAATAATCAGGAAGCATTTCATGTCATTCCACCTCTGAAATTAAATAGGTCATCAACAAGAGAAGACAGGAGATGCAGAACTCTGATATTCCTGTATTTTGAATGTTCTTCCCATTTTGAATGTTCCCATTTTGCATGTTCTTCCAATAGCATGACTATAGTGCATTACGTCAGGATTTTTTTTAATCCACATGCATGGAGTAATTTAGCAGGATCACATGTTTAGATCAGCGCTTTTGAACTAAAACAACCTTCCCCAGCATAGTGGCTTCCAGAAGTTTTGAACTGCATAATCCAGCATTCCAGACTACTGTCCAAACTAGTGGGGACTTAGGATTCAGTCTCTCCTACCACTTGAAGCAGTTTATTAAAAACAACATCACCAATAAAATGTAATTTTAAAATAGTTGCAACACTACTAAAATTTAAGTTGAAGAAACTGACTCTGTCTTGTTTTCAGAAGACGTTAACAACATGGGAAGTATGTTTTATTGTATTGCAATGTTTTGATATTTTGTTCTATTTCTTATTTTATTGGGTGATAGAGCAGGGCAATGAGCTGCATACTGTAAGAATAAAAACCCTCCTTTAATATCTGTTCCTGCCTTATCCCATTTCTTTGCTGCTGTAACAGTTCTTTTTTCATATCTTGTTTCTGCCATAAGCTCACTCAGAGGTATTAGCTAAGTCACTCTCAGCTTCAAATTTCCAACAGGAATGTGGGAATCATAACAGCGAACTGCCTTATTTACTGCATTGCTGTTTGGCCTTCTTCAACCTAATGCTCTCCAGATGCACTACACATACTGGATGGGGAACAGATCTGCAGCCCAAATCATCCGGAGGTTAGGGAAGGCTGTTCTAAGGATTACGTATAGGAGTAGGCAACTATTTCTGGTCCTCCTGACGTGTTAGCCTACAACTCCCACTACCCCAGCCGGTAAAGCCAACGGTGGAGGATGATGGGTGCTGTGGCACAACACGTCTGGAAAGCCACATGTTACTCAGATTTTGGATTACAAGGTAGGTATACGGACGTGCCTGCTATATTTGAAGGGGCTCTGCTCTACGCATGCTGAATACTATTGTTTATTACAATTACAGTGGCGATTATTGGGAAAAGAAATTCCATTCGGCTACAAGGCTGGTGACTTAAAGTGCTATGAGCGGGACCTGGTTGCGGGGCGATGCCTCGCCCAACCTCAAAGGAGGACCCGACGGGGGCGAAGTCCGGAAAGGGCGAAGGCGAACCCGGGAACAAGTGGCAGCTATTACAATTGTCTGTTGGTGTCTAAGACGAGCGCTCACCGCGGATCGGTTTATCCTCTTTCTCCTCCTCTTTGGTTTTGCGCTGATCTGCACCCAAATAGTCCGGCATCGCGCCACCTCCTCAAGCAGCTCCGACCCGAGTTCCCGGTCTGTCCACCGCTATTACGCATGCGCGCCACGCTCAGTGCCGAACGGGCGCATTACGCAGCACCTCGCCCTGACTTCCTTCCGCTACTGGGTGGAAATGACGTAAGAAGGCGGGACCAATCCCACTCCGTGGAAAGCTCACGGGGAAATACTTGGATCTTGGACTGAGCTGTGATCTCGCACGGAGGGGAGGCTAAAGTGATATTTAATTGCAGCTCCACTTTTTAATTAAAATCTTTCATTCGCCTATAGATTTTTTAAAAATAATGTACCCTTCCAAATAACTTCCGCTTAGATGTGGTGTAACACGACGATCTTCCCGTCCAATAAACTATGTGCACATGTGTTCCGTAGACTCTGATAAAATAAAAATACTTTTATGGAAAATGGTGAAAAGGAGCAGGTTTATTTTAACTGTTTGCTGTTCTTGAAGATTAGCCGAAATCTTCAATGATTAGTCATTTATCTGTACGTAGATATTTGTGAACTTTTGGTTGGCCTAACTGATTATTAATAGAGATTTCGGAATATTTTAAGTCCGAATCTTTGATTTCTACTTAGATCTACTTGTATCGTCGGGAAAAAAAAAGAGCCAACCTGAACACGTTTAAGACATACAGTTTTCAATCTGCTGGCTCCCGCAGCGTTTAAATATTGGAAACATCGCTTTTATAATACACAATGTATGAAATAGCAAGCACTTTTTAAAAAAGACATACAACCTACTCGGGCAACCCTCTAAAATAGCGGGTCTTGTTCTAGAGAAGCGAAAAGGGGCAAATTTGGCTACGTGCCGCGGCTTAGCACGCCAATGAGTGACTTCCTTTGTGCAACCATTAAACACGCAACCGTCGCTTAGTTCCCTGCGCGTTGTCTCTTCTGCGTCGCCTATGCAGAGGTGGGACCTCTTCACTGCCTCCGAAGTGAGGCGGACGGCGAAGAGGAAAGCACGGTGCCCCGGAAGTAGTAGCCGGGTCCGTCCATGCGCCGGTGCCTGGTAACTGGCGACCAGGGCCGAGCGGGGAAAAGCGAAGCCGTCCAGTCGCCCAGCTGCCGGGACTGCCCGACCGCCGCCACGATGCTGCGGGGGGCGCCTGAGGGGCAGGTCACCACGGTCAGCAGAGCCTTGTCTACGGGTATGTGACGCCCTCCGCCTCGGCTGCCAGGTCCCGGGAATGCTTCGCCGCTCGCTCGTTTCCCGTTAGAGAAGCGCGCGGCTCCCAAGTTGGGCGGCGAATTCCTCGGAGTGCCCGGGTGGGGGCTGCTGCCTTTCAGGTCGATCCTTGGAGGTGGGGCGGGGGCATTGGAACCACCGGCGCTTTCCCTCAGGAGTCATTTCTCTTGTGGTCATAATGCCCGTAGGGTTGCTTTCTGGTTTTCCAGTTGCGTTGCGTACGCCTGTCTTCCCCAGCCAGGGATGACGGGAGTTGTAGTCCAGCCACTCTGGAAAGCACCAGGTTCAGGGAGGCTGGCATATGACAAGGAGAAACGCACTAGACGTCGCCTTCACTCTAGTTTCCTTCTTAGAGAACCATTGCATTTTTGCCTGTTTTTACAGGTGTCGATAACTCAGGAGTCTTGTGTTAGGTGGGAATATGGTTGCATATAGGTTGTTGTTGTTGTTGTTGTTGTTGTTGTTGTTATTATTATTATTATTATTATTATTACATTTCTATGCCGCCCCTTGCCGAAACCTCGGGGCAGCTTACAACATGATAAAATACATTGAAATACAATAGTACATAATTGCGGTTGCGACGGCTTTCCTGTTTGTCTCTTGAAATTACGGAGATACTAGCAGGACAAGGAGGAATCAAAGCTCTCACTGGCTTTATTTTACAAAGACTTTCTATGGAACGAATAAACTGTTGGTAATTTTGTTTATTCATGCAGCCTTCACATGTGGCATCTTCCCTGCACTTAGGGATTTCACAAGAACAGTTATGTTGTTGCAACAAATTCCTTATGGGCTTGAGCTATTATATTGTTTGTGGTGACTAAACACATGTAAAGGAAAGTAAGTAAAGTTAGCCATTAGCGAAGATACTAGTAGCCTTTCTGGCCATGGAGAAGTCCTTGTCTTTACAGCAAAAGGGACACAAGCTTCTCAAGGTGCAATTCTTTTCATGCTTGGACAAAAAAAGAAGCTTCACAATCCCTGGCATGATAGCTAAGCATCCAATGCATAGGATTGTTCCTTAAGGCACCTCAAAATATGCCTTCTTCTAACCAGCTTGGAAGGAAGGAAGGAGGAAGAATGCTGTTGAGGGGCAAAATTCCCTTCCACCACAGCCAGCAAAGAAACCAGACTGGCAGAGAAAGTATGGAGAAGGCCGCCACCTCTCCTTTGGCAACCCACTTATAGAATCATCTGCATTGAATTCCTTGTTGCCTATAGCTACCAGGCAAGTTGCTAAATATGAGGTTGCTCTAAAGAAAACTCTCTTCTGCAACTGCTGAAAAATGTATTGTGCATGTTATATTACATTGTCTTTTAATACTGTTTCTCTTTATCATGATACCTAACTGCAAAAATCCATGTTTTTACATTTGTTCCAGTTAATGGCTCTTTTCTTCATATTACAAAACCCTGCTACTGCTTAAATTTGCCATATACATTCATCTGTACAATTGTTATCACAATTTTAGAACAGTAGAAGTAATAGAAACAGTATGTGATTCTTGTACGATGCATTGGCACTAGCAAGAACTTTAGCTGGCAGACAGTATGATCCAATGTGGCTGTCTGCAACCCTCAACCTAGGAGATTACAAAGCATTCTACCAAGCACAGGAAGAGTGTGAAGGCAAAGGTTATACTTCCACCTTACAACTGATTTGGTAGTCTAATTCTTTGCACTTGCTCACAAGGAGAAAAGACCGAGGCACTGCCACGATACCTCATGGAGCCTCACTCTTCTACCCCCTGTCTCTGCCCACCATTTCTATGTTTGGTCTTACAGCCTTGGAGCCTCAGCTGGCACAAAAAAAAGCTGTGCCAGCTGCAAGGGCAGTGGGAGAGTGCTCTAAATTTGGAGTCCCAGTTCCAGCCTTGGTCACATTCCTAAAGTCAGGGCTGAGTCTTTGAATTTTCCAATGGCTGGCCAGACAGCATCTACAAACCATAGGATTGTGCTGGACTGTACTGCAAGCAATGCACAACTGCTTATTTAGTGCCAATGATACTAAAATTCTATACTTTGGTCAGCAATGCCCTGAGAGTATGTAGCAGCATGGATCTTCTGTTTGCAATGAAAAGCAGGTTTTGTTTCAGGCCATACTCCTATGGATATTTTAAATATGAACAATTTAAACAAAGTTTATATGGGTTTTTAAAAAATCTGATATACATAGCAGAATGTAAGCTCTTGACCATTATTACTGTTTCTACTAACTGCATTGACTGTAGTCCAAGCAATTCCAATTTACAGAATTCTGGAGGTATGTGTTGTGACTCAATCTTCCACTTGCGGATTCACTGCAGTCCAGTTAAAATCATGTATATTTAGAATGCACAAATACTTACAATGATATTGGGAATAATTGCTGTACATAACTAGATCTAAAGTGTTTTAGACTGGACTGAGTTGGACAATATATATGATATAATGATGTTAAACTAGGATTTGTTTTTTCATCTGCTTGTAGCACATGTACTTCTGGCTAAATAAAGCATATAAGGTAATTTATGTTCTGGAATTAGGATGGACTGAACTTGAAAATTCAGTTTTGGTTAGGGTGCACCTTAAGCTGTTTTTATGCTTGTATTCACAGCTTCTGTACTTTGCCAAGTTGAGCCTGTGGGAAGATGGTTTGAAGCATTTATTAAGAGGCGAAACATACATGTTTCTGCCTCTTTCCAGGAACTGGAGGATGAGAAAGAACTTTCTGAAGAATCAGGAGATGAAGAATTGCAGCTAGAAGAGTTTCCTATGTTAAAAACACTTGACCCAAAGGACTGGAAGGTATATTATCTAATGTTGGAATTGTATTTCTTCACAGCATAGTGAAGGTTCCATGATGGTTTCCTCTGAATAGTGGTTTGAAACATTAGAGTGTGCTATCTTGAGAACCTTTTATCCCTTGCCTGACCTGTTCTTAAGGACTGTTTTCCAAACCATTGTAACCTGAGATGTGTAAATTAAAAAAAGTCTAGAGCAAATAAATTCAGTTGATATAATGATATGGCAGTGACACCATTCAGTTGATATATTCAAGGCTACAGAAAGTAGCATTTCTTTTTAGGGAAATTGTAATCCTATACTTACTGGAAGTAAACCTCATTGACCTCAGGGAAGCTCACTTATAAATAGATGTGTATGGGATTGCATTCTGAGTTTCCCTTTATTGAGGCACTTAGTTACCATACAAGATTGTGTGTCTTCTCTTACTTTCTGATTGGTATAGGTTTCTACTTATGAAGTGACCATTTTTCCAGTAGTTAATACTGAGTGAATAATGTTAAAGTAGTAGCTCAGTGTTAGTAGCACTGGTGGAGAAAATGTCAGATTGCAGAAATTTGTGGACTTTTAGAAGAACACAAAAAAGAAATGGCAAAAACTAATAATGGCAATAAGGAAAATGATAGGTGGAATATGGCAATATGGTGTATGACAGATTCCTGTCCTCTAAAGTTTCAATAACACGCCTTGCCTCTACCTTGTGCTGAACTTATTTTGTGGAACTTTTTCTGCTGTGCTCACTTCCATTTCTCTTAATACAGCTTTCCTCAACTTGGACTTTTCCAGGGTTTTCCCCCCTCCCCCCAAACCTCATTCATTCCAGCTACCATTATTAGTGGTCAGGGATGGTGTGATTTGTAGTCCAACACATGGAGGAACCCACAGTGGGAAAAGGTACCCTGACACACCTACTCTGATAGCTCTCTCCACTTCAAGAAACAGGATAGAGGACTAGATTATTACATGTCTGTTGTCCCCCTTGTACTTCAGGCTCTAAAAAGGCCACTGTTACTTTAAAGCCTGAAGTGAAAGGCTGCAAGTCTGTAGGGTTAAATAAAGTGCAGTAGGCACAGTGCTGGCAAA